CTAGGATCATGTTCGCTGCGGAACCCGCAAGATTCCACACACTTAGGGGGCCGTCTGCCTTTTTACTGTATGGATCCACTTTTTCGACCTCAACCTATCACGAAACCCTCCTTTAAACTGTTCTTAGACCAAAGCATATGTGTTTATGTGTATCTTTCCATCTTTTGTCTATTCAAGCCCGGATTCTCCTCTCCGAATATAGCGCCTCTATTTTAACCCCTTTTACCTGATTTCTTCCTCAGCGAAAATTTCAAATGAATTGTCCAGGATATCTTCCCATGTCTCTCTCACGCTGATCTACTCCTCCACCTGCGTATAGGCCTGTGTAATGCCTATGCAAAACTAGATAAACAATTCAAAAGAGCCGCCATATTCACAATGAAACACTATCAACTGCACTAGGCAAGGTGATACTGACAAGGGGGGTCTTTCAGGGCAAGCCGCGCTTTTTGGAAACGGTTTCTTGCATATTGTAGGGACGCATGTATGGACCACAAAACCATGTTTCGTTTTCGCTGAACGGTTTTAGTAGTACCAAAAAAGTGGTGAATGATACCCTTGATGGTTCGATCCCCGCGGCGACTAAATTTTGCAATCAAGGTTGGCGGCCACTTGTTGGCTTCAAAATGGTCCTGACGATGAATATGACATCTGATTTTGACATTTAGCGCGATTTGGCACCAAACCGTAGGCGCCAACCCAAATGCAAAATTTAGTCGCCACGGGGGATCGAACCATTAACAGTACCTTTGCTTCTTTTTACTAAAACCGTTCAGCGAAAATGAAACATGGTTTTGTGTTCCCTACATGCGTCCCTACAATATGCAAAAACCGTTTTGAAAAGCGTGGCTTGCCCTGAAAGACCCCACTTGTGAGCACATCCGCATGACCGTAGAACAAGGACATCGAGAACAAAGACCGCTCACGAGCGTAGTGACTATTTTGGAAAAGCCAAACGCGAAAAAAGAAAGAGGATATTCACGAACTTGTCTTTGAGGACAGTGAGATTTGGCATGACCGACAAGCATTGTTCGCTTGCTCTCCACTGGCGCTTTGCACATCTGGAATATTTTGATTTGAAATATGAAGACGGTTTGGTAATTATTGAAGCTTCAGAGTCAAAATGAAAACACAAGCTTAAATCCACATCCAGAAAACCAAAAGCGCCCACTGAACATTGACAAAGCCCCTGTTTCACTCACCGCGCATTCTACTCGACTTCCGAATCGTTCGACTGATAGTGAGTTATGGTTTTTGCGTATAGGAGACGGTTTCTATAAGTATAGATTTATATAAGTGAGATAATGGAATCAGTACAAAAACTGCTGTAAAGCTTACAATAGGGAGAGGAGCGTGTTGATTGTTTAACAGTTCGAGAAAAATTGTTTGGAATGGATCCGGTAACATCGGAGTGTCTTCGTTGAGCGGTGCAGGAGGCTAAAATCGCGGAAATAGCTTGATTTCTGCTATATATAGAAAACGTTCAGCAAATACTTTGAAGAAATGCTAGTATCCTCTGAAAGGGATATTCTATGTGATGGAAGAAATGTGGTTGGAAAAACAAATCGTCAGAACTGCTCCATGAATTCCGCTCCTTATCAAAAGAAGAACAAATTATGCAAAGGCCGAGATTGCGATAATCGAGTGCTAAATCCCACATGTAATATACAACCTATAAAAATTCTTCTACCGTTGACTGTTTTTACCCTTCATGCCTACTCTTAAAACCCTGGAGTTGAACATCGACTAGTCCCACGATCAGGAGAAATGAGCGACCACGAGGTAGGATGAAAACTCAAATGAGGCTTTTTTCTGGTATAACAACATAAAAGTCCCTGAAGCTCGAGATTGAAGCATTAGAGGTGAAGATTTGGAGAAGACGGTTATCGGACTCATTCGAGAGGATAAGCTGGTAATGACGAATGGTTGACGTGTCGTACTGTTATTACAGCGAAATCCTACGCGCCCAATTCTCGTTCCTTGACCCCTACCCATGATAGCTAGCACTGAACAAGAACACCTTCCTGACATTTGGCAGTTTTTGCCGATCAAAGACCACGGCAATGTGCGCACGTTTAAGTAGACTGGCTACTATACCGAAGAAGGCCACTACACTTTAGGA